AGCTGCCTTTTATAATTTCTGTTTGAAGTTCTTGTAACCATTTGTTACAGATATAAAAGGTATTACCTTGTTGTGCTTCCCTTAATAAAGTATAGGTTTTGGAAATAAACCCCCTGGGCTACTGACCTTTTTATATTCTTAGAAAATAAAATTCCTCTGTTGCAGAGAGAACTGTGCAACCAAGCAGCCAAGCAGCTGCTTTTCGAATTACTAACAACTGAGCTATGGAATCATACAGAAGGGAGGAGTGAGTCTTGGTTCCCTACTCCCTTTTTTGATTGTAGATTTTTGTATTTAACTCAGTGGCTGTGGCTATTTGAAAAGAAAGGGCCACAAATGCTTGAGCAAGCAGATCATAACTCTGATTAGGAATAAGTTTTGAAATGCAAAAATAAGATATCATACTAAAAAAAAGTAGAGGAATGGGTGCCTTGGAGTAGGATCCTTAATTCATGGCCTGACTTTTAAAATTACTGACATCTTTTCATTTTACTAACTTTGTAGGACCTCAGCGATTCTGAAAATGAGAGCATTCATTCAAGCTCCTATATTTAAGTCTAAGAGCCTATATTTAAGCATCCATGCTTGAAAATCTTGGCCAGAATCTCTATTCATTCACTTTTGAGGAAAGTAATTTAGGAAAATAAATGTGTGCTGATTACACGTGGTTTACTTTGTCAGATAGTGTTCTGATCTTAAGACAAGTGGAAATAATTTAATATATGAAGATTTGCAGTTTTCTAAATAGAGTGCTTAAAACCTAGGGTTTCCACTTGATGGGAAATACCCATATTTTGAAATTACATTTTACCACATTAAGGCATTAGTGGATCATCATTTTCCATGAAGCAGAAACTGTGAAAAGTTGTAGTTGGTAAAAATTCGTATGTTCAAAATCTTTGAGGTAAATGAGATTAAGTATTTATGGACCTTGTGAGAAATTCCATGGCCATTTCAATACCTGTTTCTGTAGTGAGAAAAGTGGAAGACCTGGGGCTCAGAGTTCAAGGGCTGCCTGTTGTGACACCCAGAACACTAGAAACCTTGATTTCCAAACATGCTAATTCACATGAATACTGGAAATTTTCAAAAACCTATTAGTTTTGTAGGAGAAGTTTATCACAATTGCCATATATATTGACCCATATTACTCCGTAGTTGCGTGTATTGTTACCATTTACAGTATAGTGATTTCTAGCTGTGCAAGATATAATTAGCCTCTACCATGTGTGCTGTTTTAGCTCTCTTGATGTGCCCAGTGGAAAGTGATGTATATATGTTAAAAATAAGCAAACCAAACACGTGTGCTTTGAGTTAGTTGGAGAAGTTGAAGAAAGACCACCTTCCATTTGGAGTGAGAGAAGAGGTTTATGCTGGTCATCACTTTCTCCCAAGACTTGATTCCAGGTTCCCTTCAACCCAACAAGTGCGTTGCACTGGAGTCTTTAGGCTCAGGGTATTGGAAAGAACCTGTTGGGCCATCTCATTAACCATAGATTTGTCACTGCTTTTGCAGGAAACCACAGAATTAAAATCCTTTTCATAACTTGATCTGCCTTCCCAGCAGAAGGGAGTTGAGTTTTTCTTTAACCACAGCATCATATTTTTTCAGTTTGATGCCACTCAATTTCCAGTAGCAAACTTCTGTGTCTTCAGCTGCTCACTGAACTTCAAAGGCCATGTCACCCTTCCTTGTTATACAGGTGAGGTACTCTCAAGCCTATCTCAGAAGACTCGAGTATCTCCCCCTGCCATACCCAATCTTTTTTAACTGTAGCTGCTAAATGCCTGTGAAGGATAGCTGTCTACATGCCTATCCCTTAACTGATCATAGGGTCAATACAGTTTCATTTCAGTTTTGTAAAGCTCATATCCCAAAATGTCTCTGTCCTGGAAGAAGACCAGTCTGAAGAATGGAATAGCTTTCACTGATACCAAATGGTACAGCAAAATGTGCAAGTCTGATGAAGTACAGCTTTCAGTGGAATCCCTCACAATATCCTGATTGTCACCCATGATTCTTAGAGCCAGTGATTCAATCATGTTGACAAATAGCTATGGCATCCCTTTCACATATCTCTTGAGGAAGATTTTTCATCTTACAGAATCTTCTGTATCTTTTACAACGTTGGTTAATCTTTAAGCTTTTAAACTTGTTTCATAAATCCTTTGAAGCAATCCATATCTTTTAGGCTTTGCATATTGCAGACACCAGAAGAGGTAAAAGATGTCATCTGTGTGTATGCTAGTACTGTTATCTTCAGAAGGTCTTCCAGCTTTGAGTCTGTGCTCTGTTGGCTTCTAGCACCATGCTAAACCTCACATTTCACAGAACTAAAAGATCATCTGGAGTAAAATTTTCTGTGGCTGATGCACATTTAGTTGTAGATGTCATCAGGTCACTATACTGTTTTGGGGATATATTTTTGTAAGTGATAATCTTCTGCCTTGCCTCTGACATACACTTTCCTTGCAGCTGAATCTTTACCACGAGGCTAACAACTTGAAAGAGATTTCTGTGTGGGAGTTCAGCTACTCCTTTTTTCTTTTTCCCAGTAGGAGACGAACTAAAGAAAATGTCACCCACTTGTTCCCATTTAAGTTTCATACACTCTGGGTCATTCAGATAAGTATAAACTGCTACTGAACATCTGAGTGTCTTTGAGTCAGATTTTTTCTTTTCAACTAGTGTGTTTCATCTTGATATTTTATATCAATTCCATTTAACTAAATGAGGGTTTGAAGGAAAACAGAGCTATCTTGGTTTGAACTGATTTTTTACTCTTCTTATTCTACTTTGTAATATATGGATAAATAACCCTGGGAAAAAAAAAGGAAAAGAAGTTACTGAAGAACACCAGCTGGGAAATAGTCCTACCAGAATCCATACTCAGCCCTTGCTAAGCAGAGGGACCTATGTGGGATACGTATGTTGACATTCAACATCTATTTGTCTTGAGATACTGCTTTGCCTGTATGCAAGGCCGCTGGTGTTGTACTTTGTTTCTCTTGGCCTTGTCTCTGCTAATGAGATGTATTTCCTGATCACTGCTATTTCCCGATTTTTTTCTTGGCAAGGTGCCTGGTTACTGCGGAATCTGCATGAGCCAGGATGTCCTCTTCTGCTCTCCTGCTGGGCTAGTGAAGCAGATGTAATTACTATGATTCCTTTAGCTTGGTAATGGGACACTCTGCAGCTGGCAGCTTACGCCTTTCCCTCTCCCCTCCTCCCTCCAGGGCAAGTTGGAGATTGAAAGACCTTTGCCTTTTTGGAGAGCATGTTATGACTTATTGTTTTGGATATTGTTAAATGCAGATCAGCTGTGGGTTTATTCTGCCATCATGATTATCTCATACATAAGCCTTCTACCCACCCCTTTTCTGCTTTTCCTGTAAGCTCATAATGTGATCCACAGTGTCCTTGAAGCCAATACAGCAGCTTCACTGACAACCCTGGGTGTTGGGTTGGATCTTAGGTGCAGCATTTCTAACACTGCAAAATCCAACCATACATTGCTTCTCACAACAATCTCCTGTTTCTGCTGAGAGGTCTGTTATGATTCTATGAACCATTATATGTATGTTTACATTTTCTTGTGGACTTTGTTCAGTGGGAAGCAGTATTACTCATCAAAGAAAGAAGAGAAACATTAAAAAGGAAGGCACCTATTGTTCATTAGTGTAGGAAATGGAGAAAAAATAATCTTCATCTTTTGGGTTAAGCCCAAAAGTGTAATGGAAGTACATTGGCCTGAACTAACATAGATTTCCTCACTTCTTGTTCACACTGAAGAATATAGTAGCATGTGTCATCTTTCACTTTAATCAACATCTGAAACATCTTTTTAGATGAAAAATATCAATTAAGAAGTACACTCATTTAGTTTTATAAATTTCATAGAAATGAGAGACCACTATTCCAGCCTAGAGGTCAAAGAAAGATTGAGCCAATGCTTAAGCCTAAACAAACCATCTATCTTCTTAGTGGCTTTTGCAAACTCTGTCCTTCTCTGCTAACAGGAAAAGTTGCTAAGCTAGGGATAAACATAAAAGACTACAAATTCATGACTAACTTCCACTGACAGGTTTTTGTACTCCTACCACAGAAGTTAAGATCAAATTTTACTGTTTACGGTCCCTCAAAGAGGGAGTGAGGTTAAGGGGTTTAAACAAGGTATTTGTAATGTCCAAGTTCACGTTACTATAGAAAAATCCATACAGTCTGCAAATGGTGCCAGTCTTGCTGATACTGGCTTCACTCATCTTGTTTTGAAGCTTTTCAATTAGCCCAAGTCCTGTAACTACCAAGGTGAACCCAATTCTGGTGTTTTGAAGTAAAATGTTTTCTTTCTTCCTGCCTTTAACTATTCCTCCCTCTTAGGAAAAGAATGTGGGAAGATGTGCAATTATATTCACTATGCTAGTGAATAGCTAGAAGGCGCTCACTTGAAACATCTAGCTTTGGGTTTCTGTAGGACAGCTGTTGATTCCCCACATTTGCTTTGTAGAAAAGAACTATGTAAACTCAATGGTCCCGGAATATCACCTAATTCAAATGATTATTTTTTAACCTTCCCTTGCACCTCCACTTCTCCACAGACTTCTTACCACAAAGATAAGTTGCCAGATTGACATAGAAACTGAAAGCCAGCACATTCATAGCTCAAGTCCCCAAAGGGAGATTAACTTAGCCTTCTTTTAAGGAGCCAGTAGAAGGAACAAGATCCTTAGTTGTTATAAATCGTTGCATTCCACTGAAGTCAAAGGATCTCTATTTGTTTACAACCACCCAGAAACTGAATGAGTATTTCTATTATTGTCATGCGTGTTCAGTTGTGGCTCAGCTTTTTGGCCACAGAGCATGACTCCACTGGACATGCTGTACACTTTAAACTTGACATCTTAGACACAGATAAAGTTTTGTACGTTCTGATGTTGTCCTTTAACAACAGGAATTAGGAACCCTTGAACTAATGGTTTTCTCTCCCTTCTCATACTAGGCGAAACCCGCTCCACTTTCACCTCATCGCAGATGCAATTGCCAAACAGATCCTGGCAACTCTGTTCCAGACATGGATGGTCCCTGCTGTGCGCATAGACTTCTATGATGCAGATGAGCTCAAGGTAAAGACAGACATTCACAGGCATTAATCATATACTTCTGATTTCATGTCATCCCTTTTTTATTAATCTCTTTTGGCTGGTGACTTGCAGGGGAGCACTTGGCTAAAACATTCTCCCTGACTGAGACTAATTCCAACTCACATGACTGGAACCTCAGTTACACTTAACTAAAAGATGCTAAATGGCTAAAATCAAGGCAGTTTCTCTGCTAATGGAATATGTTGTTTAGCAGCTTAGAATTTTACCTGCTGTTAAGAGGATTCTGGCTGTCCATCTAATCACATTCTATTTTGCTAAGGAGACTTCTTGCTAGTAGCAATGGTGGAATCGTAAGTATCTTATTCAATAAGCCCAAGTCTTTAGTGAAAACACTCAACTGCCTTGCATTCCTTAAGCATGGATGTGTAACACCATAAGTACATATACTCGTATGTACACTCGTATACAAGGTATCAATACTATAGTTCGAAACAGCTACCTTTTTTTTTCTGGATGGCCTTTCAAAAGGAACAAATATGAAAAGAGTTCCAAGAAGGGGAATGTCACTTACTCAAAACATAAAGTAATTATCTTTTCATAGTTACAAAGTTTAAATTAGAACATGAAGGCACAGCATTGATTTTGAGCTGCATGTTTTTGAGCTGTGGAGGTAGAATGAAGTATTCAGATTTTAGCATTTGGAGTTGGTGGCAGTAAGTATGACTTATCAGACTGTTCTGAACAGCACCCTGAAACAAGGAAAAAACAAGATTTAGCAAATTGCTGTACTAATTAAGGGGTAAGCTCCATATTGTAGAATCTTGAATACAAAAAGGTTTCAGAAGAGATGGAAAAGGGAAAAAATGATCCTTGAGAAAAATACTTTGTTTCTAACTGGTTTCATTTTTTTGTGGTTCTTCTACATGAAGCCATAAGCTGATATTAACCTAATTAGCTAGAGATCTCCCTTCTGTTCTTTATAGCTTCATAGCAAGGGGGAGGTTTGTTCTTATAAATCTTGTACATGCCTATGTTACATGTGCTTTTCTGCAAATTGTAGGGCTTTTAATTAGCCTCTCAGCTGGGGAAGACAGACCTCTCAGTGTTTTCCTTCTTGTCATTTGGGTACCGTCCAATCTAGTTCAGTAAATAATAACCAAGAGAGCTTACTTCAGTTATCCCCAACTTGCTGATTAACAGGCAAAGCACTGTGCAAATAGGAGGCTAAAGAGCAAACTCTTGTTTTGTCCCTCTGCCTTCACACAACCTTAATTTTTATACAATCGGTGACCTAAATTAACACTTGGCTGTTTTGCATGTAACCCATAGGATTTAGGTTGAGGACAGCTTTCACACTGGATGGAAGTACTGATGCATATATACATCTTTCCAGGTTTGCCACTCTGGTTCAGGGCTCATACTGCATACCAAGCAATTTCCCGTATTTCAGTAGCCAAAAAACACAATATGTAGTGCTCAGCATAGGTGAATGTGATAGACACTGCCAAAGGAGAGCAAGGAGCTGTAAATATAAATGGAGTTTTAAAAAGCCAGGTATGATGCTGGCTCATATCCAGATCATTCTGCAAGTTTTAGCAAAGAAGACAGAGGAGCTGTTTACAGACAGCTGTAGGAGCTCATCTCATTTGTTTCCTACATAGCCTCTAGAGAGGATTTAATGATTGGTTTGGGTTCATGTATTTCACCTGTACTCTTGGGAGCTATATTATGCTGGCTGGTGTTAAGAAAACATAGAGCTGAGGCTAGAATGTTTACTAGGAAGTCTGTCTTTCTCTGAAGTCATCTATGAATCCACTGGTACAGTATATATTATGTTTCACTTTAAATGACCCTCCATAGTTCTTTTTTTAAACATGTAATCAATACCATTTCCTGACATTTAAAAGGATTTAAACTGAACAATAGCATGAGAATTTTCTGCTTAGCTTGTGTTCACCAATGTTCAATTGTTTTGGAACACATTTTAGTTGCTACAAAAAACATTTTATTTCATGTTTGTTTTTTTTCTCATTGGATATGTATGAGCTTCCAGCCTCTTCCTTTTAATGCACCAGGAGCCGGCATGTTAGCTTAAGCCCTTAAGTCCTGGGAAAAATCCTGCTTCTACTCCTGTTTCCACTCAAACAGTGGAAGGGAGCACCTAATATTAGATCCTCCATAAATAGTATGGATACTTTTTTGTTTTCAAGTAGCTATTTAGAATTGGGGCTACAGTTTCCACTAGTGTATTAGTTTTTTAAAAGGCAGAATTTGGAGACTAAAATGTTTGGCAATGTTTCTAAAAATATCCTGCAGTTCTCTAAAAATGCATGCTGCTTAGCTTAGAGTTAGAGCAACCAGTGTCCTGAAAGGAGGTGTAGAAAATTAGGCTCAGCTGTGGCTGTTGTTTTCTCTCAAGTTATAGAGGAAAACTGGAGGCTTCACTGCAAGAAAGGGAAGACAAGGTAGGTACCCCTGATTATATCATAATTTCTAGGGCCAGCAAACCAAGATATCTACTTTGCTGCTGTGAATTAAGCATGTCAGATGTTCCTTTTAAAATTTAGAGAAGACTTTTTTTTTCCTTTTGCAAGGTGACACAGCTGCTCACGTTCATGTTGCACCAGGAAGAGCCTATGTTCATTCTCTCCCTAAAAGCAGGTGCTGCTGAACTAACTAACAGCAGCCTGCTTGGAAGAGGAATGGAGCACAGAAAAGAATGGCCAAGGAAAGGTGTATCTTTGTTTGAGGCACGTGATAAAGGATGGGGTAGAAGGGGGAGAGACTTGACTTTGGAGCTGAGCCAAGATAACATTTCCAGGAAAAGGGTCAGACATAACTGAGATGGGAGCTTGCTGGATATATTTCTTTAAACCAATTAGTTTGAGGATTTTAGCAGCCAGTTCTACTAAGATGATCGTTAACCTCCCCCAACATAACTTGGCCTATCTCCTTGCCAATAACCACAAGGGAGATAGGTTGGTGCTTAAAAGCTCTCCCTCAACTTGCAAGCTGTTCAGATTGTGAACTCTCTCCCATTAACTAATCTTGCAACATGCAGTTAGTAGTCAGCAATAAGCATCCTTGAAGTATGGGCAGCTGATAATGGTGCCAGTAATTGAGCTATTCCATAGCTACAGACTTCATTCTTGTTCTACTCAGTATGGCCCACTGTAGTGGGTTTGTGTAGTTAAATAACTCTTCCAAATTTATGTGGTCACATACGGCTGTGACTACAAACTAGACGGTTACTTGGCAATGTAGATTCACTTTACGGTGATCACTTTAGTCATGTTATTCAGCTTGGATCCTAATGCAGTAGATGTATCTATTACAGCAATGCATCCCAAAAAATAACTGGAAACCGAAAATTGTCTTCTTTGAACATTGAAAGAGAAAAACATACCTGTGAAACATTTATCTAAAAGACACATTACAGCTGTGACTTGCACATATCAGGCTGCAGGATATTGTGATTTTTTCAGTTCAGTCTTACATGAAGAAACTCTAGAACAAACTATTGAAGATGTGCAGCATGAGAACTGGCTTCTGCACTTCATTATTTAACATGAACTCTCATGTCAGTTCACTCACAAGGAGGTATAAGCATTAAACCCATTGTGATCCACATTGTACCAGAGCAGAAGGAACAGCTGATAAAGCAGTACTGTACGTGTGATGGGTGGAATACAGATGAGGTGGTTTGCTTTCCCAGATGTTGCCTGACAGACTGATGACAACATGACGTGGGCTGAAGAAAGCAGAAGGGAGAATGGGCAGTTGCCTGCTCTGCTGTGAGTAAATTTTGATGGCCCAGATAAACATAGTCTCTTCATCACTGATAAAGCAGAAAAGCCATCTCCTTTAAATAGTTTAGCCCACAAATGTGCTGCATTTGTTGATTTATGAACTTAAGGGGATGGCGAATGGGTTTTTGTAGTAGATGAGCATTTGACCTTAAAATGAAATGTGTAAAGCTCCATACTTTGCTGCATATGTGGACAATATTCCAGCTTTTGCTGTTCCTGGATACAGAAGTCCACAAATCTGACTACCAGTGCTACATTAGGTGATTACATATCAGAAATGTTGTAGTCTGCACAGTCAGGCAAAAACAGTGGTCTGATCCAGAGAGCAAAACCAAGCTGGGACAATGCATAGCATAAAGATCTCATAACTTTAGGCCTTTATTTAATTATGAGATGAGTCATTTCTTAGCCACTTCCATCTGAACTGTGAAGGCAGTTCAGTAGGTCAGTCGTTGACATCATTTGGATAGATAGATGGGCAAGGGCTGTGAGATCTAAGCAGAAAAATAAAGTTTTATAATCATAGTGTAGCTGAGTCTCAGAGCTGTGCTTGTGTGCACTCCCAATGTGCTTAAATTCCCAGAGTGGTCCAGGAACTCCCAGGCTTGTCGTCTGCATAGGTGAGATAAAGGGCTGGTTTGAGACAGCAGACCAAGTTGAAACTAGGTGATTGATTGGACTGCTGGCCATCTGCACAAGAAGTATTTGACAGCTTGTTACAAGAGCTATCCCAGTGGGAATTTCAGACAGTTCTTGAGATTTCCCAGGCAGACCCTGCTGTGCCTAGACCGATTTGTATGCTTAAGCATGTTGATTAACATCCTGGGTGAAGATTCTGGTTGTCCCAGATATTCACAGGCAGTTCCTGCAGCAAAGTTAATCAATTGTGTAAGGGTAAGACAATCAGTAGAAACAGTTCCTGCATGTGTAGAAATGATCATGTAGGACAATCTTTTGCACATGCTTAAGATAGGAAATGTTTTGTATATAGGTTAAGGTAATCTATATCAATGCATTATGCATGTCTTGCAGTGGTCACGTAGGACCACATGCCAGCTGGATTACAAAACTTAGACAGAAACATGTTTTAGGGAGTCTCACTCAATCCAACTAAGATGACCCTGCAAGGACCCTTACTACAGAGATTCTCTTTACCATCCAGACAGCAACCAGGTGTCCTTTCTAGCACATTGTCTTGCCAATACAAGAATT